TTAACAACTATCAAAGCATTGAGTGAAAGTAAATTCAGAAGAATAACTACTTTTGTCATGTCATAAAAAATAGAAACACTGATCTAGAGAAGATGTAGATAAGATAACCTGGTTCTGTTAACACTACAGTTGTTACTTGTTAGAGTTGAATGGTGTATCATAATTTTTATTACACCCTTTGAGTCAAAGAGGTGCATGTTAATTGAGCTGATTGTTGTTGTCAGTTTAAATCATTTGATTAGACCCTCTTCCTTGGCAATCATCATGCTCTCTTTGGAAAGTTCAATGTCGAAGTGTACAGTATTCAAATCATGGTACTCCCTCAGTTAAACAATTAAATTCAGGAAGCAATTACACATACATGTCCCTTGAGAATGAGAGAGAATAGAGTAGGAACCGTTCACCAAACCAAGGACCGTCTACAGGTGTGCAAAGCATGATATATCGTTGGGGCTACAAATTCACAAAGGCCAAACATTTTTAGTATATACAATGTATATATACATATACATATATAAGATAAAGTAGAAAGTATAAGATAACATAAACAGAATCACCAAGTATTCCGAATTACCGTTTTTCGTCAGTTCCAAGAGAACTTAATAGTGCGCTTGGAGGAGGATCGATCCAACACCGCGCAAGAGAGGTACAATACTTCAGAACCTGGACCTATAGAAGACAGTGACGATGGCATCACAGTGAGACACCTGACATCACAAGGGATGCATAAGCCTAGTAACTATTATGTAGGTTGTCTAATTGCTCACCCATCCATAAATCCAACATGAGTACCCAGTACCCTATAACTTATACTAACAAATGAATTTCTATGGGCTGTTTGTTAAAAAAACACTGAAAGTCAATAGAGAAACATAATCCATTAACACTCTTACATTAAACTTCTTTGTGTGGTCTTGTCAACTTAGAAATTAAGTAATATTTCTCACATCCTACAAGAAGAACTTTTTTATTACCACCAACTAAGTCTTGATATTTTCTTTATCAGTGAAAAACTCAGAGAAAATATGAGAAGTACAAATTAGGAGTCATTATTTTAGCCAACAAGCATATACTACTTGTATCTTCAGGAGTCACCCTTCTGTGTCCTGCCAACACAATGCAAAGTTTGAAATCAGTAATTAAGCATCAGTTCACATACTTCGAAGTTGACTATTTAAAAGAATGAACAAGTTGAATCCTGGAAAACACAAAACGCCACACACTAAACAGCCCCTTCTACAAAATATTAGAGTACAAGTCAGCTCTCTTTTAAATTGAAAAAAAAGTGATGCTGCGATACGTATGAAGAATTTTGCACTTATATTTTACAAAAAAGTTTCTAAACATTCAATTGGCACTATTTTTTGAAAACATAATAAGAAGGAAAGGGGTTGGGAAGTGAGTGTTTCAGCCGAATACTGTGTAATTTAGGAGGCCAGTGCTTTGCCTTCACAAACTTCAAGATAGGTGGATGTAAGTGTTGTTTTTTAATCTTGAGTCAAATGGATTCTTATAATTTCAGTCAAGAAAGGCCAAGACAAAAACAAACTAAAACAAAAACAAAAACATGAGGAAACAAATTAAAGACATACGAGGAAAAGAGTGAGCAGTAGGCGGGGGGGATCTCTATCTCTGCCGATTGAAGAAATGGGTGAAGATGATGGCGGCTTTTGGATTATTATAACTTCTACTACAGCGAACTGAAAAGGGTCATAACTGCACATATCTAGTGCAAATCAGTGTTTTCAATCGGAGCAGAGTTAATAGAAGTCTGGCAGATTACACTCCCACAGCCGGATAACAGAAAATAAATAAACGATCAGGGCTATCCGCAAGGGGAAAAATGATGAAAAAAAAGTAAAAATCAAAACCAACAAAGTAAAAAGGAAATCACTCACAATATTGGAAGACCAATTGAAGAACCGGCGGAGCAGAACGAAAAGAGAAAGCAAGCGCTGAGAACCGAACGACGAAAAAAACGAAAGCACATCCGGCATCTTGTAGGAGGCTATTGCGCATGGGATAAGGAGGTAGATATGGGCATCTGTCACAGTGTCAGGGATATTTGTCGAAGGCGGTGGAATTGGGCATTGAATCCTTTCAGCAGTTGTGTCTTGCTTCCGGGGTAAGTCGAAGGCGGCTTGCCAAAAAACAGAGGGAAGAAACGGAAGACATCTGTAGGCTGTTGGGTGCGTTAAAAGGAAACCTTCCGTTGGACTGTAGTAACGTTAAAATGCCGAACTTAACTACCTAAGGCATTATATATATATATATATATATATATATATATATATATATATATATATATATATATATATATAATAACGGTGGAAGAGTTCAAATGAAAAGTGGTCTTCCCGTGCAAAGTGCAAAGTTTTCACTTTTTCATGTTTCGCTTGCACTTTTTCTTGTTTGCGTTGCACTTTTTGGCCATTTTGATTTTGGCCAAATTCGGCCAAAATGACGGTGGCAGTTTTGTAAATAAATCAATTTTTTTGAGCTACCGCAAAAAAGTGCAACGAAAGCAAGAAGAAGTGCAAGCGAAACATGGAAAAGTGCAAGCTTTGCACGTTAAGACCACTTTTTATTTGAACCATCCCCTTATATATATATATATATATATATATATATATATATATATATATATATATATATATATATGAGTATTCATGTGCGTCCGCCACACCACAGGGGCCGTCCGGCCGACGGCTTTTGACCGCCTTCCCGGTGGAATTTTTTGATGAAATTTGTTTACATGTTCTTCATCAAGTCTAGTTTATGCACAAAAAAAATCAGCTAAAAAATCAATCCGGGAGGTCGTAAAATGATTTTTTGAAGTTGACTGCGTTTTTTGTGTGTTATTTTGCACAGTTAACTTCAAAAAATCATTTGAAGACCTTCCGGATTGAGTTTTTAGCTGATTTTTTGTGTGGATAAACTAGACTTGATGAAGAACATGCCATAAAAATTTCATCAAAAAAATCTACGGGGAAGACGGCCAAACGCCGTCGGCCGGACGACACTTCTCCTGCGGACGGACGCACCAGAACAGCCCTATATATATAGAGAGAGAGAGAAATCACACAAACCGCCGTCCGAACGGTGACGTTTGGGCTCCTTCTCCATACACTTTTGGACAAGTTTTTATTGAAATTCCTTACGTACTCTTACAATCTGTAGTTTATGGTGTCCTTATTTATGCGATAATTGGATTTGAATGGATGGCATCTAAGTTTTTCTGGTACATTTTTATAATGTTCTTCAGATTGTTATACTTCACTTTATATGGAATGATGTGTGTGGCTGTTACTCCCAACGAAAGCACTGCATCTATTTTCTGGTTTCATCATTCCACGACCATGGCATGGACTTTGTACGGCTTGGTGGTGTCACAATTTGGAGATATTGATGGTAAAAATGAGTGATTCTGATCAAACAGTGAAGCAATTCTTGGATGATTACTTTGGATTTAAACATGATTTTCTTGGAGTGGTTGCTTGTGCTATTGTGGCATTCCCCGTTATTTTTGGCTTCATTTTTGCATATTCAATTAAGTCATTCAACTTTCAGAGCAGATAAGTTACGATTATTATGTAATTAAGATGGTGTACATGATGATTGTGTGGATAAGTTCATAAATTTTTATTTCTAATTAAAAAAAAGTTTGAACATGTTCTCCATAAAGTCTAGTTTACGTACACAAAGAAAATCATCTAAAAACTCAATCACGAAGGCAGTCAAATTTTTTGGGAAGATAACTACGCCAAAATTTACATATAAAAACGCAATCATCTTCCAAAAATTATTTGACACATGCACGCACTCGCACAGGCACATGTTTTTATTTCCTTAACCTTTGTCTGTTCTGCAATTTATTCCTTCATCACACATTTATTAAAAAGAGCATGGTTGGGACAGAGCAGGCTAATTCTCTGCAGAAATCTAAAAACATGTGCAACTAAAGATCTTGCTGAACAAGAAAAGTGTCCGAGCCTATTATCAATATTGCTTTAAAAACAAGACTATACAGCAAAATTACTTTCAATAATAATAATAATAATAGTAGTTTATATTATTAATAATTATTAATAATAATAACAAAGGGATTGTGTCTTATCAAGGTCATCTTCCCACAATTTTTCTTTTTGCGTGAATTCATAGTTTCATGTAACGATTTACAAATTATTTATACTGTCAGAATTATGCATCGTTTTCTTTTTGTAAGTTGAGCTTTCCCACTTGTATAGAGTATTGGTTTGTGTTGTCTCCCTAATGAATGAGAATCCTCGAAAGGTATTGCATACTTGCATGGGGAAAAAAGGAAACAAAGCTGCTCTTGTTAGCCGAAAAGGTACTTATTGACAAACATTACATCCCACTGCTTGCTGATTCTGCTGTTAGCCGAAGACATTGCCTTCTCAACCTAAAGCGGAGCGCTGCAATGGGGTAGCTGGCTCCCGAGTATACAATCACTGGCCGCTTCACTGAAAAGAGCGACATATACGCTTTCGGTATCATCATATTTCAGATCATCACTGGAAATCTTGTGGTCAGCCATTCAAATTATCAAGGAGCAGAGTTGTGCAGGTATGATGCATTGGTGGATACAAAGCTGGATAGTGGATGACGCTGCTATGTTAAGAAAGATGGCTCTACTTTTCACTCATAAATCTCCTGGTCAAAGGCCAACCATTGAAACACTCATCCAAGAGCTCTCTAAGATATCAGATTTAAAGCCCACAATTGTACCTGAATCTTGCCCTTGTTTTGAATCAAGTTAGGCATTTTCCCCCCTTTCTACATGGTATTCTAGAAGCCATTGTTAATGTTCATGTAGTCTAGGGGTCATGACTTAGCTTGGTCAGTAATGCAATTTCCATTTACTCTTTTGCTTTTTCGTTTTCTATTATATAACTGCCAAACCTGGTTTTATTCCTTCTTAAGCAAACCTATATTACCTATATTACACGACAAAGCTATAAAATGGCAATCTATACTTAGGAGGAGAAAAGAAAAATAAAAAAAGCCAAAGGTGAGATTGTAGATACTTTATACAAACATGGCAACCAAATCCGAGTACAGGAATTGAAGGTTGGGATCATCACCAGGACATACCCAGCTATTGGTACATGTATGACATTAAAAAGAAACTAAAACTCATTCAATGTTAATAGTGATAACCTTTTTCGCCCTGGTTCCAGATTGGCGCCCCATGGCATCAAGGTCGGACCTTGGATCAACAGAGCCATCTCTGAAGGGAGAGTCCCAATTTGTCAACCAGGTGCTGGTGATTGGTGCTCCATTGCGAGCATTATACTTCCAGTCTCTGCCGGCGTTAGTCTTCCAATCCCGTTCAAAACCAACTAAGTCATCTGTATTAAAAACCTTACTTTCTTCATTCAGTGTTTATTAAGGGAAAAACCTTCACACATCATGAAAAAAATATACCTTTCCCTAAATTGTGCAAAGTTTCCATAGAATCGACCTTGCCATCTGATTTAAGCTTCCTTGTTACTGTGTGCCCCTACAAAAATGACAACTTTTTTACTTCAGCACATCTGTCTCAAAGGGTTAATGCTAAACTGCTGCAGTAGCTGAAAGCACCTACTTCATCCAACAAGCATTTCGATAAATCAATCAAAGTAAATTTTAGTATCATGGTAAAAAACAGGGCTTATAGTAATAGAGTTTCCAGTTCGGTATATCAATGTGAACCCAACAGTGAGTTCACCGATATAAATGGAGGACTTGGGAGCTGGGAATTCCATCTATTAAAGACTACACCAATTTAAATAGCACCGCTAGGGTATGAGTATGGGGAAGGATAGCCCTGTTGTTATTTTGACAAGAAGTCACCCCCAAAACTTGAATCAGTGAAATTTATATCCACTTAGAACCAAATTTAGTTAGGTCAATTATAATAATGACATGACTTCACTACTGGTATTTATATAAAAGTAGTGCAAACTGATAGATGATATTTTTAATAAAATGCAAATAGTAAGGGATGACTAATTGTCCTAAATGTGTCCTAATGTTGTTATTTTGACAAGAAGCCACTCCCAAAACTTGAATCAGTGAAATTTATATCCACTTAGAACCGAATTTAGTTAGGTCAATTATGATGACATGTCTTCACTACCGGTATTTATATAAAAGTAGTGCAAACTGTTAGATGATATTTTTAATAAAATGCAAATAGTAAGAGATGACTACTTGTCCTAATGTGGCATATCTGGTAAAATATTGCTTGATTTGCTTCAACTACATTTGATGCAATTTGTGAAAGCCTCAAAGTCAATACACATATTTCGTTTTTTAAGGGGAGGTATTCACTTAAATATGTAAAAATTACTTATGATTGTATTGCATAAATATTACAATCATAGCTACAAGTTTAGAATAATAATAATAATAATATTAATAACAAAAATTTAATAATAAGAGTAAATATAAATCGGGTATTAAAAATTGAAATACAGTCTTTGCAATGACTTCCAAAGATAACATACTCATAACAAAAGACAATTCAAGCTCACCTCACCACGCCCAAACCCCCTTAACATACCATCAGGCCATTAGGATTTAGGGTAACCTTATCCATCCTCCAGTCTTACCCAAGCACCCTTGAATGGTGTTGGTAATTTCAAAAACTCCAACTAATAAACATACACTTTTTGTATACACAAATATTTATAGGACAAGATGGGCGAAATACCTTATCATGGATTCCTCTAGAGATTCTGTGTGTTGCTTCGCCAGTTGTAGTATCTGCATGTTTGGTTTCCTCCCACACCCTCTGGTTTTCCAAACAAGCATAACATTAGTTCTAGCTTTATCATCATCATTTCATTCCGTTGCACAAAAAAAATCATCATCACCATTATTATTTGTATTATAATTAAATTAAGGGTGAATTCCCTAAATAGGAGTAAAAAAGTTTTGAAATTCCAAAATAGGAGTATCATGTTTTTTATTTATTGAATAGGAGTAAATTTTTGCCAAGTAATACTATTCAGGGAATAAAAAACATGATACTCCTATTTTGGAATTTCAAAACGTTTTTGCTCCTATTTACTCCTATTTAGTGTAAGCACATTAGCCAGATGAAAACATTACTCTACAATGTAAAAACAGTTAAAAAGTGGTGTGCACCAGAGAAATTCCTAACACAAATTGAAAAGAGCAGTTTTTCTTACTCCATCACTTCCAGTCAGGCGGCTTGTTGTAGCCGTTAAATAGGCGCCATTTATGCCACCATATGTTACTCTTCTGTAGCTCATACTTCTATTTCCTTCAATGCTCCCAAATGACGAAGTTTTCCTCATGTTATTGGTCTCGTTATGATAATCTATTCAAACAAAAGAACACAGTAATAATTCAATGTAACAGGAGATTTGGAAAACAAATACTCCGTATTTCTTCTTGCATGCGTAATAATGAGAAGACAATCTTGTAGTTTTGCTCCCAGGAATATTAGTTCATTGGCTCTTAAGCCGCTCTTTTAGTCCCTGACTTTCATTTTTTCTTGTTTTGTGCACAGTTATGGATTTCTTGTCGTCTTTATCACTTATGTTGAGAATAATCGACGGGACGGAAAGAAATGAAAATTGGGGACCAAAAGCTAAAATGATCGTCGGGACCAAAATTGGAATATTTCTCCTGAAAAAAAGAATACATAACTATAAACAAATTACCATCACCTTGATCCTGAGGGTGCTCAACAAGTGGGTTTCCGTTGGCCCAAGCACTACTCTGCTGCTGGTTATGACAGACTTCTCCACATTTTTCTATTTCACCACCACCACCACCATCATTGCTCTCTAGCTCCTCAATGACGGGTCCAGTGGGTTTGCTGGCTCTTGGTAAATCATCAGGAGGGGTATCTTTTGAAACTGGCCCTTTCGGCCCAAACAAGCTCCCGAGAATGCTGGAAATCTTTTCCCCAATCGAGGTGCTCGACTCGTTCTCCTCATGAACCCCTCTCTCCCTCTGCATTTTGTTTTCTCTGAACCAAAAGTATCAGAAATCAGTAAACCACAAAATTATAATTCTCGAAGAAATCGATCTTTATCGTTGGTGTGGTAGGGCATGAAAGAATCAAGGCGGAATACCAATTTTCTCTGTCGCTACAAAAAATATGACTAACTATAAATTTGGGGCTGTATACATGAATTATGAATATACAGCTTTTCAATCTTAGATAAAACATTCCATACCGTTCGTCTATTATCTTTGTGTTTGTATCTGACATCTTTCTACAATAATTTGAGTTTGCACTCCACTTTATTGTCGAAAATAGATTTTGCACCCCGATTTTGAAATTCTTAGTATTTGCACCCTAACCCCGTATGAAAAGACAAGAATGCCCCTCGATCAGAAATATGTTGAAAATCAATAAAATTGTTAACTGAGGGGCATTTTCGTCTTTTCATAAGGGGTTGGGGTGCAAATACTAAAGATTTCAAAAATGGGGTGCAAAGTCTAATTTCAACAATAAAGTGGGGTGCAAACTCAAAATATCTCATTCTTCTACTAGCTTCATTTGAAATTAAATTTCAATCTACTGAAATTTGAAATGCTAAAAAAATTGATATGCTAAGCAAGTAAAAAAAATAGAACTATGTTGATCAAGGTAATTTAGACTGCAAGTCCTTTTGAGTCAGAGAGTGCATCTGATTTAATTAGGACAAATGTAGAGTCCATTTGACAGGTTATGATAAAATTATATTAGATCATCAAAAATTAGGACCATGCAGAGTATGTTTAATACTAGTAAGTTACGATAAAATTATATTTGAAATATATTTTTATTAATAAAATAAAAAAATATAAAAATAGCTAAAATGATTATTATCTATTTCCATCATTTGCAATGGAACCAAAGATTCACTATTTTTTTGTTTTAGAATATGATGTAATAAAGCAAAATGGCTCACTAAACTATATGCGCTTCTTTATTGTGAAGCAACAATCAGTCCATTTATTTTTTGACGCGATTTTCACTATGGGTCATTTGAAAAGAGTCTCTTTGTACTTTAGTACAGGGGTAAGACTGCGTATATCCGACTCCCTTACCCCACCGTAGGCAAGAGTCTTTGCGACACTTGGGTAATGATGATGATGATGATGACGATGATGAGGAGGAGGGGGAGGAGCTAAAATGATTACCTATAACAACTCCAATCAGTTCAATTAAAAAAGTAACGTCAATCTTACTTGGATTGGAGCCTGATTGGTAACGCCTATTTTGAACCTATCGGGCTTTCAGCTAGCATTTTTACCAAACACGTAATTTCTGATTTTTGGCATTGAATTGTGTGATAATCAAAATAAGCTAGGTTGGAGTTACTTTTCTAACTAAAGTTACTATGGATGATTATTTTAACTATTTTTCGTACTCCCTCTATCCTGTTGGACATGGCATACTTTGATTTGGATGTGAAATAAGAAAAGTAAAAACTGTGTGAGTGGTGTTTGTGTAGAGAAGAGGGAAATAAAAAGAACCACAAATTCATTATTTTAAAAGAAAAGTAACAAAGTGTTTAGGACAAAAAAGAAAAGTTGACTATGACTAATAAGACATAATTAACTCCATAATTTTTTCAACTCATCACTTGCCAATAGGCATATAATAAACTCTCGTTGAACGTCAAAACTTCTATTACAATCGATACCAGAAACGGCCGCTCTTACTAACACATGGGCAACTAAATTCGTTGATCTTCTACACACACCGAGCTCCAAAACCTCTGACTCAAGAAGTAAAATGCTTATATATCTAATAGGATTAAATCAACATTAGTCGCACCCGATTCTCCTTGAATCTTAGACACAACGGTAGCGGCGTCTGTTTCTACTATCACCCTCTCCCAACCATTGTCAGAGCCCACCTTATTCCTCCTTCACTTCCCTAGCTTCTAATTCGTAAGGGAGCCATTCCGCTTTTAAGGATTCACACCAAACTTTGATAAATCTCTCGCAATCCCCCCCCCCCCCCCACCGCCCTACGACTATCCATCATAACATCAGTGTTAACTTTGACCCACCCTTCACGCGACTTACCCCATTTGGAGGCTCTGAGTTGCAACTCCGCACCAGGTCTCTTCTCGCCCTGAAGACTGCATAATACACCACCCTCGTAGCAGAGCCTCTTTAATGCTTGAGACACCCGCAACATATCCCCGGCTCCCCCTCCAAACAATCTCATTTCTTTGCTTTCACAAACTCCTCAACAACATAATACATTTGCAAGTATTCTCTTTTGAAAAAATTGTTGAAAACCTACACTACCCAGCTCATTAAATCAGTCACACCTCCCGAAGAAATCAGGTCAAATTTGGTATAGATTCCTTGAGCTAAAGAGCAGTCAAGCAGCATGTGCACCGATGTTTCCTCCCCTTGCTCGCAAACTTTGCAAACTCCCGAAACATGCACATTGTCCTTCTCAATCTATCCCCAGTAGAGAGTATTCCCCCCATAAAATATCGGTTCAACCTCACCTCTAAGCCTTCTATACCCTTAGCATCATCCACCCACTAGTGGTCATCATCAACATTCCTCAAACTCCATGGGATAGAAAGAATAAACTCACTCTCCTTCCTAGTAAATAGCTTTTTAACAAGTTCATATGGTGGAAGTACCACGAAGGGATGTTCCCCATTTTATCAAAAATGGCGAAACAAGTACTGTCAATGACATTTCAACCGTTGCCGTGAAGCAAGAGTTTAGCGAAATCGACAATGTCCTAACCGATTATACAACAAAATTGAGCGCGCAATCTCTTAAACTCTCATTTGTTTCCACGATTGATTAGAGAGCCATCATAAAACTCAAGAAGTTAACATCGCATTGAACTGCCACTTCATGGAAGAAACGACAATTGATGCTAGCTAGAAGAGTTTCGACGACTAGGAAATGTATTTAAACTATTCTCAATTGTAATTTATAAATGTGTAATATTCTAAATTAGAGTCTCTAATTCAATTTAGTTTTTCAAATTAATCTACGGTTCATTTTTCATGAGTAGCATTTGTTATTTATATTACTAAATTTAAAAAAATCAAAGCTGCACGACTGGACCGGGGCCCATAAAATCCAACTCAGTTACGGGCTTCACATTTGACGGACTAAGATCGGCCGATCTGGGACCGAAACCGAGACTAGCACCACCCATAGGTCGACATGGTAACTTGTGTTGGGACTGGAATGTAGGAGTAGGGTAAGGGTGGACTGGACCAGGCCGAACCGGCCCGGAACCGGCCCGGTCCGCTACTGTGCGGGCCCGAACTGGACCGGGCCTGGTTGGCCAGTTCCTGGCTTTTAGCCCGTTTTGGCGGGTCAGGTGGGCCAGGCTCGGGCCCAATTTTTGTTGAACCGGCCCGGGCCCATTTTTTTTTTCAATTTTTTTTCTTTTTCTAGGGTAGGGCTGGGTGTTTTGGGGAGGTTTGGGGGTGAGGAGGGAGGGTCTAGGGATAACAAGAAAGCCAAATAAAAAAAAATTAAACATTGAATCGGGCCCGGCCCGGTTAGGCCCAGACCCGGTATCAACCCGGGCCGGTTCCGGACCCAAGTACATTGAAAAAAAGCCCGCTCGGACCCAGCCCGGAACCGGCCCGGCCCGGGTCCATCACTATGTAGGAGTTATATGGTTAATTGGCAGTACTCATTTTTTTTGCCTTTTGGATTGGATGAATGTTGATAAAGAACTTATCGAAATAATTTAGTGATCGTAAATGCAAAACTTTCAAACGTCAGAGCGTAACTATTGATGGACTCGGGCCGGGTGACCCGACCCGGAACCGGCCCGGTACTGTTCCGGCCCGGCTTGACCCGGTGGCCCGGTCAGTGACCGGTCCGGGTAGGCCCGAGCCGTGGGTTTTCCGGTCCGGGCTCGGGTCACCCAAAACAAGGCCCGACCCGGCCGGGCCCGGGCCTGGTTCGGGCCAAAACTATTTTTTTTTTCAAATTTTTTTAAATTTTTGGGTTGGGCTGGGTATTTTGGGCCATTTGGGGTGGTTTGGGGGGTTGGGGGTGGGAGGGGGTTAATTAGGAAGAGGGAAAAAAATGATAATGGGCCCAGCCCGGCCCGGACCCGGTGGTTACCCGGGCCGGTCCCGGGTCCACCACTTCTGAACCGCCAGCCCGCCCGGACCCAGCCCGGACCCGACCCGGACCCGAGTCCATCCCTAACTCCCTAAGCGTAATAATGAAAGAAAAACGATCAAGATCTAATTGCCAGATATTTATGTAATTGAATCTATAAACAAAGCACAACTTCACAAGATCCTTATTAACACATTATTAAAACAGAACTACGTACTTGCATGTGGGGGCACAAATGGCAAAATTGCTGAAGCATTAAACATTGACATCCCTTGACTTACAAACCTGGACTGCCCACAGTTTTAACCACACGTGCATGAAAATATGGTGTTAACTGATTATAATTTATAAGCTACAACTAATTGACACTATAAGTTACATGTGATGTACACCAACGCAACGGGATGAATAGAATACAATTCACTTGTAACCTCAACCTCAACATCATAAGGCCTCTCCAAGTCCTGAAAAGTCCAGTTCCCAAAGCCCAATAACACACCGCTGCTTCGTCAATGGGATCCATCCACAAATCTTGTATAATACAATCCGTCCCAAGGGAAGGGGAAGGCATTTGACAATACTTCCTAGAATTCCTGACTATCAATATCTGGCTTTGATGGATATTCAAGGCCACGGAGAGCAGGCATTGCTCCTAAATCTTCTTCTGAGTACCTTGGTATAAACCAGTACCGTTTGTCCGTTCCAAACACCTGACCCTCCCCAAGAAAGGACAACTAAATACATACTACACTGATATGGCTTGTGAGAAGTGAAGAATGTAAGCACATGCAATAACAGTTAATTGCGGTTTTGATTCCAAGTGTGCCAACTTTGATCTTTCAGAGTATCAAATTTGGCACAATAGCACAATTTGAATTTTTAAACAAAACTAGTTGCTTTTAACTTGAAGACAACAAATGGTAAAGATGCAAATAGTTGAGGGTCAAAAGGTGGAATTAACCTCATGCAACATGGTTCTCAAAATTGGCATGAACAGCTTCTATGCACTAGTCATGTGCTTGGTTCAAAAGAGGGATGAGAAGGAAGGGATTTTAATGAAGTGGTGGGGATGAGAAGTATTATAATATTACCTCATTTGGATACAGTAGAAAGCATTTTAAGCAAGTTTTTTGTACATAAGAAGTTAGGAAAGAAACTACTTATAAATAGACTATCTTACCCTTTTTAATCTGATAGTAGATAAATAACTGTAATCAATCAATAATAAGGATTACTACAACATATACTTTATAGTATATTTAATTGTATAATACTTTTCTGAAATGTCCAATTAGAAAACGTTTAATGCATATTTATTTTCAAACCAATAAGATATCAAGGGAGAAGGTTGTGCTCCTTCGCAAAGCGGGAAGATCAATATGTGATGCAACGTAATGGAAAAAGAATAATAGTTTCACTTAAGAAGGTAATCTAGTCCATGAGAAGAAGTTATGAAACCGTCCGATTCCAAAAGGGAGGGAGGGATGGGGAAGTTTAATAGATATATCTACCCTTTTTTCTTTCTTACCCAAATAATCGGAATGAAAAAAATTCCCTCCCCCCATCCACTTCACTTCAGGAAAACCAAATGTTGTAAGTGCCCCTTAGAACAATTCGGCTCTAGACGGACTTGATGCCTTATTACGCATCGCAAACTAGGCACCTGGTTTCCTGACAAGATGGACGATTCGAGTATGCGCCAGTTAAGACCTGACCAGCGCCTATAGAATTTTGCAGGACTGCCACACAATTCTATCCGAGCCAAATTTTCAAGAAAAATCAGTTTGTAGATCTGTTCTGAAGGATAAGTGCTCTTAACTACCACTATGTTTATTATATAAAGGAAATATTACAGTTTATGAAGATTCCACTGACTGCATCCTCTAAAGTCTCTTGAGCAAGATTCACCAATATATTATTAAATGCAACTATTACTCCATCATTCACCCGAAATAGTCCAGTACTTCATTTGCATCAGTCCGACAAAGATATGGTTCACTTTCAATATCTAAAATTTCAAACAATGATTTATTTCTATATACACCCCTAATAAATGTATCTTTCTGAACTGTCTATTGGGGTGTTTAGATCTGTTTCTTTCAAATGTTTCTATCCCCTCAAGGGAAGCATATTTGAGACTGTTTGGGTGAAATTTCAGAAGCACTTGTAAATTGCTACCCAGAATCAGTATTTCAGTAGCTAGGGAAGACCAAATGACCAATTTCTCAGAAACTGATTCAACTTCTCAAATGCTAAATCCTGAAATATCATTTATAAATGTGAAAGTATTATTGTATCTAGGAATATGCTTTAGGAATATGCTCTAGAATATGCTTTAGGAATATACTCTAGACATTATTATTGTATAGCATCTTAGATAGGAATATTCCATCTTTGTAATATATATATATAGGGCCTTAACCCTCTAATGAAATACACAGAAAATCCTTCTCTCCATTTTAATATCATTTCAGTTTCTATTTCAACATGGTATCAGAGCCATCCATTTGAGTTTATTTTTCAGATTTCATTTTAGTTTTCAGACTCAGTTCTTTCTCCCAGAACCTGAGTTCAGTTCAGAACCTCTAGGTACTATTCTGTCTCCTAGAAACTCAGTGCAGCACAGAACCTCTCTACACACCATCACCATTAAACAGAACCTCTATTCAGACCCTTAGTTCAAGCAAATTCAGAATCTCAGTATCACGCAAACTACATCATTCAGAATCTGCCAGGTCCGACCATCTTCCCGGCGGATTTCTGACAAGACCATTCCTGCCGTCTCTGACCAGGGTTTGAAGTTCGCAACTCCAAATCGACGCCCATCAGCCACACGGCCTTTGGAAGCACTCACTACATCCGCAGTGATACTTCTTTTCTGGTTTTCTTCTCTCGCTCTTTCTCAAGGGAGGGAATCCGACGGATATTTGTGTGGGCTGGAGGAAATTTGTTGGTCGCTAGTATCTCACATCGGATATCTTTGTGGGCTGGAGGAAATTTGTCGGTCGGTCGCATCTCGTTAGCGCATCTGATTGTTGAAGAATGGATATCTGTTAGCACATGTGTTTTCTTCCCAAGTAAAAGACGAAGCTTGGAGAGTCCGTAGGAGTAAGGCCCAGTTGATTGCTTATTAACATTTTCAGCCCACAAATGAGAAGGCTGCTGTAAGTTTCCACCGCTATCTCTATTTTCAATTAAACTGCAAAAACAAAAAAAAACAAAACAAAAAAAAAGGAAAAGAAAAAAAAACAAGGGAATTATGTCTTGTGCGGGTAAATTTGACAGAGGAGTAATATGCAATTACCGTAAGAAGCCCGGACACTTGATCAAAGAATGTAGAAAATTGCTGTTCAAAAATCAAGGAAATCAGCTTGCTCATGTTGCTTCCGCTACCAGTTCATCCGATGGATCAATTGCTATTTCTTCAGACGAGTATGCCAAATTTATTTGCTACCAAGAATCTCTAAAGCATTCCTCTGTCCCTATCTCGGTAACCGCTAATTCAGGTATTTCAAACACGTGTCTTGTTTCCTCATCCTCGAAATGGGTCATTGACTCAGGTGCCACAGATCATATGACCGGTAATCCTAGTCTATTCTCGTCATTTCATTCATATTTACCTACTTCTAGTGTCACTTTAGCTGATGGATCTACCTCACCCGTTCTTGGATCTGGTACTGTTGTTCCAACTTCTACATTACCATTATCGCCTGTTTTGAGTCTTCCTAATTTTGCATTTAATCTGCTTTCCATCAGTAAAATCACTCGTACTCTTAACTGTTCTGTAACATTTTTTCCGGGATATTGTGTGTTTCAGGATCTGTTAACGAAGCAGATCATTGGTAAAGGACATGAGTCAGCTGGTCTATATATTTTGGATACATCCATCACCAAAGGTATCTCTTGTCTTGGGGTTGGGACTTTGTTAGATGCTCATTACCGATTAGGACATCCATCTCTCCCATTAATGAAGCAAATAAATCCCCAATTTAATAAGATGACCTCTTTACAATGTGAGTCATGTCAATTTGCGAAACACCATCGTACTAGCTTAGGCCCGCGAGTTAATAAACGAGCAAATGCTCCATTTGACCTTGTTCACTCTGATGTTTGGGGTGCTTGCCCGGTTGTGTCTAAAGCTGGTTTTAAATATTTTGTTACCTTTGTTGATGACTATTCTCGTATGACATGGCTGTATTTCATGAAACGTCGATCTGAGTTGTTCACTCATTTCTCTTCCTTTTGTGCTGAAATTAAAACTCAGTTTAACGTTCCTGTTCGGGTGTTAAGAGGAGACAATGCCCAAGAATATCTATCTGCTACATTTAAGTCATTTATGCTTCAACATAGCATTATTCATCAAACTTCATGCGTTGATACACCTCCTCAAAATGGAGTTGCGGAACGAAAGAACCGACATCTCTTAGAAACTGCAAGGGCTCTTCTATTCCAAATGAATGTGCCTAAACAGTTTTGGGCAGATGCCGTGTCTACTGCATGTTTTTTGATAAATCGAATGCCATCTTCTGTTTTGAATGGTAAAGCTCCTTATCATTGTCTATTTCCAAACAGAGAGCTTTTTCCTATCCCACCTAAAATATTTGGTTGCACTTGTTTTGTTAGAGATGTTAATCCTCATCTAACAAAGTTAGATCCGAAATCTTTAAAATGTATTTTCTTGGGTTATTCTCGAGTCCAAAAGGGGTATAGATGTTTTTGTCCGAGTACTGGTCGGTATCTTGTTTCTATTGATGCATCATTTCATGAAAATACACCTTTTTCATCATCCAAGGCAGATATTCGTGAGAGTAATGATGATATTCTCATTTACACGATGACTATTCCCGAGTCCACACTTTCGACAAATATTCCACGAGTTACTGTTCATGACCCTAGGCCTCCCGTACATTTGGTATACACCCGTCGACACAAAGCACCTGATCACCCTCCACCGGTGATACCTGTGATTACTTTTCCTGATACTAGTTCGACTCCGATCTCATGTCCTGAACCAGTATCTGCATCTTCAGATCTTGATTCCACATCAGATCTTGATCTCCCAATAGCAGTACGTAAAGGTACACGGTCTTGTACTCATCCTATTTCTTCATTTTTGTCGTACAATCAGTTATCTCCTGTTTCATGTTCTTTTATTGCTTCCATTGATTCTATTTCTATTCCCAAATCTGTCAAAGAAGCTTTGTCTCATCCTGAATGGCGTCAAGCCATGGTAGAGGAAATGAAAGCTTTAGATCTTAATGATACATGGGATTTGGTTGACTTACCTACAGGGAAGAAATCTATTGGATGTAAGTGGGTCTTTGCTGTTAAGGTTAACCCAGACGGATCTGTTGCTCGGTTGAAAGCCCGATTAGTTGCAAAGGGTTATGCTCAAACCTATGGTGTTGATTATTCTGACACTTTTTCTCCTGTTGCTAAATTAACATCTGTCAGGTTACTTATCTCACTCGCTGCAATTCATGATTGGCACTTACATCAGTTGGACATTAAAAATGCATTTTTGCATGGTGACCTTAAGGAAGAAGTCTATATCGAGCAACCTCCGGGATTTGTTGCTCAGGGGGAGTATGGTAAAGTTTGTCGACTTCGCAAATCTCTTTATGGTCTGAAACAGAGTCCTCGTGCATGGTTTGGGAAATTCAGTCAATCAATTGAACAATTTGGAATGATAAAAGGCAAATCAGACCACTCTGTCTTTTACAAACAAACAGAATCAGGTGTCACATTGCTTGTGGTATATGTTGATGATATTGTGATTACAGGGAGTGATAATGCAGGTATTTTGGCCCTTAAGAATTTTCTGCATAGTCAATTCCAGACGAAAGATCTTGGCTCTTTGAAATACTTTCTGGGAATTGAGGTAACACGAAGTAAGAAAGGCATATTTCTATCTCAACGTAAATATGTACTTGACTTACTAGCTGAGACAGGGAGATTAGGGGCAAAACCAAGTACAACACCCATGGTTCCCAACGTGCAACTCACTCAAGAAGGCACACCGTTTGAAGACCCAGAAAGATATAGAAGACTGGTTGGAAAGCTTAATTATCTCGCAGTCACCCGTCCAGATATTGCTTATTCTGTGAGTGTAGTGAGTCAATACATGTCATCTCCGACCATTGATCATTGGGCTGCTGTAGAACACATATTATGTTACTTAAAGGGAGCACCAGGACGAGGTATTGTTTATCAAAACCATGATCACATGAGAATAGAATGCTTTGCAGATGCTGATTGGGCCGGTTCTAAAGATGATCGAAGATCTACATCTGGCTATTGTGTCTTTGTTGGTGGTAATCTTGTATCCTGGAAGAGTAAGAAACAGAATGTGGTTTCTCGTTCTAGTGCTGAATCAGAATATCGAGCTATGGCACAATCCGCATGTGAGATAATATGGATACACCATTTATTGAATGAAATTGGATTGAAGACACCAATGCCTGCTCAGTTGTGGTGCGATAACCAAGCTGCTATACACATAGCAAACAACCCCGTATTTCACGAGAGAACAAAGCATATTGAGGTTGATTGCCATTTTATTCTAGAGAAGATACAAAAAGGATTAATCTCTACCGGGTATGTGAAGACTGGAGAACAACTTGGAGATTTATTCACTAAAGCTCTAAATGGGATTCGAGTTGATTACTTATGTAACAAGTTGGGCATGATAAATATCTATGCTCCAACTTGAGGGGGAGTGTGAAAGTATTATTGTATCTAGGAATATGCTTTAGGAATATACTCTAGACATTATTATTGTATAGCATCTTAGATAGGAATATTCCATCTTTGTAATTGATAAGTCCATTTTTGTACTTATTTTTCTTATCGAATTTAAGTGATTTTGGACTGAAAAACAGAAAAACAAGGCATGTTTTATATATTTTGGTTCAAGTTTCGTGAAATCAGGTAAAAATCACATCCATTATATGTTTGATGAAATTTCGGGTCAATTTAGCACAAAATGCGTCAATTCGAGCAACAAATGATATCATACCGAAAAAAGGAAGCAGAATTTCAAAGTGGTCCAGAAGGGAAAGTTAAAGAGCACAAAATTCAGAACAAGACGGACAAAAAACCTCACAGGCGCCCAAATAGGCGCCCAGATTGGCCGCCTACCAGGCCGCCTACCAACTTTTGAAAAAAATCAATTTTGATCAAAATTGACCGGACCGGAGAAAAACGGAAGGCGGCCGACACTGGACGGAAGGCGGCCGCCTTCGATGGCCGCCTGCGGCACAAGGCGACGAACCAACCACCGGCCGGTGGGATTTGACGGCAGGCGGCCAGACAGGAACGGAAGGCGGACGAGTTGACCGGCGTCACGTCCTGCCGGTGACGTGACGGAAGGCGGCCGGTCCAGGACCAGAGGCGGCCGCCTGTTTGGCCGCCTACCAGATTTTTTTTGCTATAAATACCCCGATTTTTTCTGAACTCAAACACACCTCTTCCAACCCTAATTCAGTTCAAAAAGGTCCTCTTCCTCGGCTATTTCCGCAGCTCTAAGGATTTTTGGGAGAGAGAAACTTCAATTCTTCATATCTTCTTCATTTTAGCTTCAAATTGTAAGTTCTTTATATGTATTTTCATCTTCTCAACGAGTAGAATCTGAATCTGTACTTTGTTTTCTCGATCTGTTCTTCGAATTTTTCCAGAAAATTTATTTAGTATTTCGTATTTTCTTCCATAAATTAAATAAAATAGTTGTTGATGTTGAATTCATTCCAATTAATTATATAGTTGTTCACTAGCCTCAAGGTTGTTATTTATCTGAAAAAAGTTAATTTTCACGAAGTGCAAGTAATTGTTAATTAATTTCGGTAATTAGGTGTTGTTATTGCATAAATTAAATTAATTACTTAAAAAGAGTAAAAAATTAGTTTCGGCCCTAATTCCAGTTATTTCACTGTAGTATCGCTCCCAGTAGTCAATAGAAAATTTAGAACGAATTTAGCCTATTTTTAATTGCCTTTTGTATTTTATAGTTAAAAGTGGGAAAATTATCAATTAGGGTTAAAATTGGATTTTTGGTTTAAAAATTCGTGGAAAATTCCGAAAAGTCATATTGTAGTTCTAGAGAGTTTATTTTGACAATATCTTATTTTTGTTTAATTTTTGCTATTATACATGTTTAATTCCTTGTTAATGTTTAATTTATTTACCATATTGTTGAATGCAAAAATAATGTTTAGTAGCTAAATTTGTTTTGGGCATGAATTGAGTAAAGGAATATGGATTGACTTGTTAGCCGAAAATTAGGGGTTAAAATTAATTAATTGAGCTAGTTATTCAATTTGATGAATTAGTAATTAATAATTTTTAGCCAATTTCATTAGTTAAATTTTGGAAAATTATTTCTAACTTGTCTATGAGATTAGAAAGTAATTTGAGCCATCTTTATTCAAGCACATTAATAAGGCCTAGAAATAGGATAATTTTAATGAAATGGATTTACATCTTGTCTATGAGAATTAAATTCAAATTGCTTAAATAATGAATTTAATTAGTTAATGAATTTGGCTATTTTTATTAATTAAAATTTTGGAGAATTATTTCTGCCTTGTCTATGAGATTAGAATTTAATTCAAGCCAACCATTTTTGAATACATTAATGAACCCAGAAATAGGATAAATTAATGAAAGTAATTTCTATTTTTGTCTATGAGAAAAGAAATTATTAGCCCAATTGTTGTTTTAATTCCCCTAATTACTAGGTCCAAGAATATATCCATTTCCAATTACTCAATTCATTGCCCTTACTTGCCTCAATAATTTTTTAGAATATTTAAATCCTAAATCTTTTAGTTGAAATTTGCTCCTAGTGTAATTGTGCAATTTGGCCTAGTCTAGAATACAATCACCCTTTTTGTATTGAAAAAGCTTCCAACAATTAGCGATAGCCCGTGACTAAGACTAAATTAAGAAAACTCCTCCGCCATTCCTCAAGAGACACGATACTCGGGAAAAAACCGAAAGGTTAGACTCCGTTTTACTACAACGCCGCGAAAGCGGTTATCAAATGGCGCCGTTGCCGGGGAATGGCACGGTAATTTCTTAATCTAGTTCTAGCATAGGTGAATTATAGTTAGGGAGACTTTTTCGCACTTGCGACATTTGTATAAAGATTTCAGGATAAATGAATGCACACCCGCTCTAAAGGAGTGGAAGGGCTACTTGAACTTAATCCTGAACCTGAACGAACTTTGTGGAAAAATCTTTTGATCCACAAGAAACCAATCATGACGGACCAAAAGACGGTGCTGCAAAACCTCACGCCAAGCTTCATCGAGGATGATAGCATAAGCGCACCAACAATAGAGGCGGCCAACTTCGAGATAAAACCCGCCATTATCAACATGATGTCTAATCATCAATTTGGCGGGTCCAAACAAGACGATCCCAGGGCCCACATGCTGTGGTTCACCAGAGCGTGCCAAACATTCCGCTTCAACGGAGTGACTCCTGACGCTGTAAAGCTGACCCTATTTCCTTTCTCACTTCGAGATAGGGCATCTCTATGGTTGGACAGCTTTCCAACAGGACATTTCACGACATGGGCAGCACTATACCAGGCGTTCATGCAAGAGTACTTTCCTCCGTCGGCGGTTGCTAAAATTAAAACAGCAATCCAAAATTTTAGGCAATTCCCGACGGAATCATTAAATGAAGCATGGGATCGCTTCAAGGATATGAGAAACAAGTGTCCACTCACACTGATGGACCCTAGCAGCTTGATGTTCCATTTCTATAATGGGCTTCAAGTTGGAAGCAAAAAAGAGCTTGATTTCTCTTCGCAGGTGGGATCGTTCCTTGATATGGCGCCCGACGCCAATGAAGCTCTGGTGGAGAAGGTTACTTCCAACGCAAGATACTGGTACGATGAAAGAACTCCAGTAGCCACAAAACCAGGCTATCTCGAAGTTGACCAACTCACGGCCTTAACCGCAAAGATTGAAGGGTTGGTGGTGGAAGTGAAAAATCTGAAGGGCGAAAACAATCACACCAACCAGGTCAACCACATAGGTGCTGCCCCGAATCAGCAACCATACCGTTACTTTGGGAACTCAAACTCTGCCCCACACTCATCACAATTTAATGTTTATTCGCCTGTTTCTAATTCTACTGAACTTGTACTCTCCTGTGAGATATGTTTTGGTCCGCATTTGACCAATTCATGTCAATTAGTTGATGATTGTAATGTAAGTAACAACAGGGAGGTAAACATGCTGGAATATGGCCGAACGAAACAAGAAGGGCCATGGGCAAATCAAGGTAATAGGGGGGGTAACACAAATTACCCTCCCCAGAATTACCAGGGGAGAAATTACCAGGGCAACCAATGGCGGGGGGATTACAACAATGGTCCTCCTCGTGGAGGTTACCAAGGTAACCAGAGCTACCCCATCAACAACAATCAAGGGCACAACTTCCACGGGCGAAGCCAAGGAGGGGCAGTAAACCAATCAACCCAGAACAATCAGGTTTACGTGCCCCCACATATACGACAAACAGAGGCGGCCCAAACCTCGGAGATAGGCTTGTTGGTAGTTGAACTAGCAAGGCAACGGGAGGAAATGGCAAAATACAAAGCTAACACTGACAATCAGATCAAAACTCTGATGATGCAAATTACTCAGAATAATGTTCCCGGTCGTCAGCCTGGCAATTTGCCTAGCACTACAGAACCTAATCCCCGTGAACATGTGCAAGCTATCACTCTCCGAAGTGGGAGACAAACAACCGAGGACAAGCAGAAGAACAATGAGGAGGAGAACCCTAGCATGACACCTGAAAAACATATTGATGCTCCAACTGAGAAGAGCATGGAACCAACATGCCCTAACACAAAGGTCACCATTGTCAAACCTTCTCTCCCGTTTCCTTCACGGGTTAGAAATGATGACGATAGTAGGAAGTACAACAAATTCCTAGACCTACTCAAACAACTCCACGTCAACCTGCCGCTGATGGATGCATTGGCGGAGATGCCAAAATATGCCAAGTTCTTCAAGGACTTGCTGACAAACAAGAGACAGCTGCAGGAGCTCTCAGTCGTGGACCTAAATGCAGAATGCTCAGCGGTGGTTCAAAGGTCAATACCTGAAAAGCTAAAGGATCCAGGTAGCTTCACTATCCCTTGTTCAATTGACAATTTCAATTTCAATAATGCTCTAGCTGACTTAGGGGCGAGTATCAACCTGATGCCCTCCTCTATAGTCGAGAAGCTAGGACTTGGGGAAATGAAACCCACCAGGATGTGTCTTCAACTGGCTGATCGCTCAGTCAAATATCCGAAAGGAATTATTGAAGACGTCTTGGTCAAGGTTGACAAATTCATTTTCCCAGTCGACTTTGTAGTAATGGACATGGAAGAGGATAGGGAGACACCTCTTATTCTGGGAAGGCCCTTTCTGGCTACCGCCAGGGCCTTGATTGATGTCACTGATGGCTCATTAACTCTAAGAGTTGGAGATGATTTATGCACCTTCCGACTCTCCGATGTTATGAAACACCCCATAGATTCCTTGCAAGGATGTCATTTTCTTGATACTTTCGAATCAATTGAAGGATATCTATTTGGGGGAGAGAATGGACATGTAAGTGATAAAGCATGTCTGTTAAAAGAAGCAAACAGTGACAGGAGTGATGCATGCGAGAGTTGTGAGGACGTAATAATTGAGCAAGCTTCTCACGAAGTAATGTCTGAGTTCGGGGGGGAGAAAAATGAACAAAACTTAAGAAATGACCACCCCCTTGAACTAAAGAAACTCCCTGACCATTTAGAATACGCATTCTTGGATGACGAAGGCAAATGCCCTGTCGTCATCGCCGCACACTTAAGTGAGGAACAAAGGGGCAAATTACTTGGAGTCCTTAAGACACACAAGCAAGCAATTGCTTGGAAACTTGAGGACATCAATGGAATAAGTCCAACCTTTTGTACCCACACCATCAAGATAGAGGAAGGGTTTAAACCTGTCGTCCAACCACAACGACGTTTGAACCCAAACATGATGGAAGTAGTGCGTGCTGAAATCGTCAAACTGCTGGATGCGGGTATCATTTACCCCATCTCTGATAGCCAATGGGTAAGCCCGATTCATGTTGTCCCCAAAAAGGGGGGAATGACTGTCACGAAAAATGAAAAGGGTGAACTTCTGCCCAGTCGAACTGTTACCGGGTGGCGAATGGTAATTGATTACCGCAAATTGAATGAAGCCACCCGGAAGGACCATTTTCCCCTCCCCTTCATCGATCAATTAATAGAGAGGTTGGCAGGCCATAGTCATTATTGTTTCCTGGATGGCATGAGTGGATACTTCCAAATTCATGTCAACCCGGAAGACCAAGACAAAACTACGTTCACATGCCCTTTTGGGACCTTTGCTTTTCGTAGGATGTCTTTTGGTCTCTGTAATGCTCCTGCCACTTTCATGAGGTGCATGATTGCCATATTTGAAAAATACATTGGCCACTTCATGGAGGTATTCATGGATGATTTCTCTATTTTTGGGGAATCCTTTGAAAAATGTCTGGAAAACCTGGAAAAGGTACTTATCCGCTGCAAGGAAACCCACTTAGCCTTAAGTTGGGAGAAATGTCACTTCCTTGTGAAAGAGGGTATAGTACTTGGACACAAAGTGTCAAGTAACGGGGTCGAGGTTGACCGTGCGAAAATTGAAACGATAGAGAAACTCCCTCCACCAACCACGGTAAAAGCCATCCGCAGTTTCTTGGGACACGCGGGCTTTTATCGTCGTTTTATAAAGGATTTCTCTAAAATCGCAAAACCTCTCACCCGGTTACTTGAAAAAGATGCGGTTTTTATATTCTCTGATGAATGTCACCAAGCTTTCCAAACACTTAAAACACAACTTATCAATGCTCCAGTACTTGTGGCCCCGGATTGGAGTTTACCTTTCGAACTCATGTGTGACGCTAGTGACTTAGTAGTGGGAGCCATTCTCGGCCAAAGGAAGGACAAGAACTTCCACCCGATCTACTACGCTAGCAAAACTCTATCCGGACCACAACTGAACTACACCACGACTGAAAAAGAATTCCTTGCTATTGTTTGTGCTTTAGAGAAGTTTAGGACTTACATCATTCTTTCGAAGGTTATTATCTATACCGATCATTCGGCCATTAGATATCTCCTCCAAAAGCATGATGCTAAGCCTAGACTGTTACGCTGGGTTCTTTTGTTGCAGGAATTTGATATTGAAATCAGGGACCGAAAAGGGTCTGCTAATCAGGCAGCTGATCACCTTTCAAGGTTAGATGTCGAATTAGCAGAAACCTTTGGAAGATGCGAGGTGGAGGAACTTTTTCCTGCGGAGAGGTTAATGGCAATATCCGCCAAGGAACAAACACCATGGTATGCCGACATTGCCAACTACCTTGTTGGTAACGTCGAGCCTACCGACCTAACAAGGCACATGAAGAGGCGGTTCCTGTCAGAAGCAAGGCACTATTTTTGGGATGATCCATATCTATTCCGAATTTGTGCTGACCAGGTGGTGAGAAGATGTGTTACTGAAGCTGAGGGAAGAGACATACTGAAACATTGTCACAGCGGTCCTACTGGGGGCCACTTTTCAGGGAATAGAACTGCCAGACGGGTTCTGGACTGTGGGTACTTCTGGCCCACGATTTTTAAAGATGCTAATGTATTTGTTTCCTCGTGTGATAATTGTCAGCGAATCGGGAACATTTCTGGGCGCAATGAGATGCCCCAACACTATATATTACCTTGTGAGGTATTTGATGTTTGGGGCATCGACTTTGTTGGACCTTTTCCCAGCTCAAGAGGGAACAAATACATTCTTGTGGCCATTGATTATGTTTCTAAGTGGGTTGAAGCTCAGGCCTGCGTCACCAACGACTCTCGAATAGTCGTGAATTTTCTGAAAAAGTTGTTTACGAGGTTTGGTGTGCCTAGGGTTTTGATCAGTGATAGAGGGACTCATTTTCATAATGACCCTATGGCCCGACTTTTGGCCAAATATGGAGTCCAGCACCGAAGCGGAGTAGCGTACCACCCCCAGACTCAGGGGCAGGTTGAGAACACTAACAGGGATTTGAAGTCCATTTTAGAGAAAACTGTTGCCCAGACCAGGAAAGACTGGTCAACTAAACTTGACGACGCACTTTGGGCATTTCGAACCGCATACAAAACCCCGATTGGAACCACTCCATTTCGCCTAGTATACGGGAAGTCTTGCCACCTACCCGTTGAACTCGAACATAAAGCACTTTGGGCGATGAAAAATGTGTGTTTCAAACTTGACGCTGCAGGAAAAGAACGATTTTACCAGCTAAATGAACTGGAAGAGTGGAGAGCGCAAGCTTTTCATAATTCCAAACTCTACAAAGAACGGGCCAAACTCTATCATGATCAACACATCAAGGCCCGTGGTTTCAATGTTGGGGACAAGGTGTTACTGTTCAACTCCCGGTTAAAACTTTTTCCGGGAAAACTGAAATCAAGATGGTCCGGACCGTTCACGGTCGTGAAAACTTACCCCTATGGCACCATCGAGATCGAAAATGCAAGCGGGGGTCCCTTTAAGGTCAATGGCCACCAACTCAAACTTTACCACGGTGGCCCGGTCGAAAAAAGCAAGGAGATTCTCTATCTCTTGAAATTTTGAACCAAAGGAGGAAATTCGTCAAGCTAGTGACGTTAAAGAAGCGCTCATTGGGAGGCATCCCAAAAAAAAAAAAAAAAAAAAAAAAACTAACCTTAAAACAAAAAAAATGTTATTTTGTTTTTTTTTTTGCAGATGTCTGGAGGAGGAAGCGACGATCCCATCTTTCAGGAGCCACCACTGGCTAGGCATGACCCAGTGCACGTACCAGATATCCCATTCGCTACTGATGCTGACCGCACACGCTTCCAGACGTGGGGGCAGTACCGCACCCTTCTAGCTCCCATGATCCTGGATCAGAGGATGCTCGAGGAATGGGGATACTGGGCCGACATTGATGCTCTACTAGGAGATTCCTTGTGGCGTGGGATTCTATCCATACAGGAGAGAGCCAGCTTCCCATTGACGATGGAGTTCCTATGCTCTCTACGCTTCACTCACTACGGCCACACTGTGCACACAGGATCTGTCATTAGGCCGGCGACTCAGATGAGATTCACTATCATGGGCATCGAGCACTCCATCGCTGTGGCTGAGCTCGGATGGAGGATTGGGCTCTATGCTCCTGCATATACACAGACAGACGAGTTCTGTGCTCTCCCGACGCATTTACCTGAGGCATTTGATATTGATGAGTTCTGGCACAGGCACTCCACAGACACCAGACCGTTCCTCCGCATGCACCCCCAGTCGAGCCGGTGGAGGCAGACTCACTGGTATATACTCTCCTTTGTACTCTCTTGTGGGTTTTTTGGACGACCTAACAACACGAACAGGTTGTCCAAAAAGGACATCCTATTCTTTTGGAGTCTGGTTCACCGCACCCCGGTGAATATGGCAGTCCTCTTGGCTCGTTTCTTCCGGAGTCAGGGGAAGAGTGTTCGCCGCACGATCCAGGCAGGGCCCTTCGTCACTACTCTCGTCCGGTCTTTCTATCCTGACCTAGACATTCCAGATCTACTCCCACTACAGGATAGCACTCGCATTCTTAGATCCTCATCCTTTGGGAACATGAGGATCAAGAAGAAGCGAAATATTCAGGAGCTGCCGGGCATTGAGCAGTCGACACAGCAGAGTAGCTCTTCTCGAGCCCCACCACATAGGAGACCTGGTGAGCCAGCCTCGGACATGCCTAGTGCCTCAGATTGGAGTGCGATGATGGACGCGATGAGGGGTCTTCAGACCTCATTCGTAGATTTTCAGGGTGCACAGGAGAGAGCATTTCGGGAGATGCGAGAGGCACATGCGTCGGCCCTGGGAGAGTTCAGAGATTATAGACTGGCACAGGAGGGAGCCAACAGGGATATTCTGGAGCAGCTAGAGACCCAGCGACTAGATATTGAGGAGATACGAGAGTGGCTGCGGCCTAGTCATGGATCACGGAATGACACAGGCGATGCCTAGATTTGCTTCTTCCTTGACATTTATTTTTTGTTTGTTTGTTTATTCAGGATTGGACATTGCGCTGCTCTTTTGACTTGAATGCTCTCACAAACTAGCTATGGATGCTGTAAGAATTTTTTTATTCCTATTTTCATTATTCCTCTTCACAAAATCTTTTCAAAACTCAAGTGTGAGGAAAGAACCAAAAAAAAAAATGTGCCTTTATTTCTAAACTTTGTGCAGACCTCGAGGGCGAGGTCCAGCTCAAGTGTGAGGAGGTTGCGTTTTACACTCAAAATGTTAAAACCCTGTTTTAGATCAATCTTTTTACTATTTTTGATATGAAACATTCACCTCTCAATTGTTATCAATCACATAATAGCTTAGAGGATCACCCTTATTATAAGAATTTACTTTTATTATTATTTTTAGAAAACTTGAAATTGTTATGGATTTTTGGTTGCGAATGTAAGGGGTCGATTTTGTTTTAATTGGACATTCATTTTATTCAAAAAAAAAAAATACTTTTTAATAAATCTCTTCAAAACTCATTGTTATAGGACAATTCCATCTCCGAAAAGGGGTTCTGTTTCATTCGTTAATCATAGTCTGTAAGAATAAAATATGCATCTACCATGGGATAACACCGCCAACAAGAGTCGAAAAGAGACAAAAAAAAAATATAATAATAATTTGTGAATAAGATAAATGTCCAAATTAGAATAATGAAAACCTTGGGATAAAGAATTGATTGGTGGTTTAACATAATCAATAGTTTTTTTTTTAATAATAATTTTAAATTCTTGTATTTTGGGTGATTTTTCTAAAATGTTTAAAAATTGACAATAAAAAGGGGGATTTTTGTTTCTATTTCTTTAATAGCAATTCGATTATGATTCAGTCAGGTTTTACCATTTTTGAGTGTGTTTGCAACTAATTTGTCGCTTGAGGACAAGCAACGCTTAAGTGTGAGGAGATTGATAAGTCCATTTTTGTACTTATTTTTCTTATCGAATTTAAGTGATTTTGGACTGAAAAACAGAAAAACAAGGCATGTTTTATATATTTTGGTTCAAGTTTCGTGAAATCAGGTAAAAATCACATCCATTATATGTTTGATGAAATTTCGGGTCAATTTAGCACAAAATGCGTCAATTCGAGTAACAAATGATATCATACCGAAAAAAGGAAGCAGAATTTCAAAGTGGTCCAGAAGGGAAAGTTAAAGAGCACAAAATTCGGAACAAGACGGATAAAAAACCTCACAGGCGCCCAAATAGGCGCCCAGATTGGCCGCCTACCAGGCCGCCTACCAACTTTTGAAAAAAATCAATTTTGATCAAAATTGACCGGACCGGAGAAAAACGGAAGGCGGCCGACACTGGACGGAAGGCGGCCGCCTTCGATGGCCGCCTGCGGCACAAGGCGACGAACCAACCACCGGCCGGTGGGATTTGACGGCAGGCGGCCAGACAGGAACGGCAGGCGGCCGCCTGCCGGACCGCCTGCGGCGGACGAGTTGACCGGCGTCACGTCCTGCCGGTGACGTGACGGAAGGCGGCCGGTCCAGGACCAGAGGCGGCCGCCTGTTTGGCCGCCTACCAGATTTTTTTGCTATAAATACCCCGATTTTTTCTGAACTCAAACACACCTCTTCCAACCCTAATTCAGTTCAAAAAGGTCCTCTTCCTCGGCTATTTCCGCAGCTCTAAGGATTTTTGGGAGAGAGAAACTTCAATTCTTCATATCTTCTTCATTTTAGCTTCAAATTGTAAGTTCTTTATATGTATTTTCATCTTCTCAACGAGTAGAATCTGAATCTGTACTTTGTTTTCTCGATCTGTTCTTCGAATTTTTCCAGAAAATTTATTTAGTATTTCGTATTTTCTTCCATAAATTAAATAAAATAGTTGTTGATGTTGAATTCATTCCAATTAATTATATAGTTGTTCACTAGCCTCAAGGTTGTTATTTATCTGAAAAAAGTTAATTTTCACGAAGTGCAAGTAATTGTTAATTAATTTCGGTAATTAGGTGTTGTTATTGCATAAATTAAATTAATTACTTAAAAAGAGTAAAAAATTAGTTTCGGCCCTAATTCCAGTTATTTCACTGTAGTATCGCTCCCAGTAGTCAATAGAAAATTTAGAACGAATTTAGCCTATTTTTAATTGCCTTTTGTATTTTATAGTTAAAAGTGGGAAAATTATCAATTAGGGTTAAAATTGGATTTTTGGTTTAAAAATTCGTGGAAAATTCCGAAAAGTCATATTGTAGTTCCAGAGAGTTTATTTTGACAATATCTTATTTTTGTTTAATTTTTGCTATTATACATGTTTAATTCCTTGTTAATGTTTAATTTATTTACCATATTGTTGAATGCAAAAATAATGTTTAGTAGCTAAATTTGTTTTGGGCATGAATTGAGTAAAGGAATATGGATTGACTTGTTAGCCGAAAATTAGGGGTTAAAATTAATTAATTGAGCTAGTTATTCAATTTGATGAATTAGTAATTAATAATTTTTAGCCAATTTCATTAGTTAAATTTTGGAAAATTATTTCTAACTTGTCTATGAGATTAGAAAGTAATTTGAGCCATCTTTATTCAAGCACATTAATAAGGCCTAGAAATAGGATAATTTTAATGAAATGGATTTACATCTTGTCTATGAGAATTAAATTCAAATTGCTTAAATAATGAATTTAATTAGTTAATGAATTTGGCTATTTTTATTAATTAAAATTTTGGAGAATTATTTCTGCCTTGTCTATGAGATTAGAATTTAATTCAAGCCAACCATTTTTGAATACATTAATGAACCCAGAAATAGGATAAATTAATGAAAGTAATTTCTATTTTTGTCTATGAGAAAAGAAATTATTAGCCCAATTGTTGTTTTAATTCCCCTAATTACTAGGTCCAAGAATATATCCATTTCCAATTACTCAATTCATTGCCCTTACTTGCCTCAATAATTTTTTAGAATATTTAAATCCTAAATCTTTTAGTTGAAATTTGCTCCTAGTGTAATTGTGCAATTTGGCCTAGTCTAGAATACAATCACCCTTTTTGTATTGAAAAAGCTTCCAACAATTAGCGATAGCTCGTGACTAAGACTAAATTAAGAAAACTCCTCCGCCATTCCTCAAGAGACACGATACTCGAGAAAAAACCGAAAGGTTAGACTCCGTTTTACTACAACGCCGCGAAAGCGGTTATCAGTAATATATATATATAGGGCCTTAACTCTCTAATGAAATACACAGAAAATCCTTCTCTCCATTTTAATATCATTTCAGTTTCTATTTCAACAATAAATGTGAACTTGAAATTGATTCTCATTCTTAAATGCTAAATCCTGAAATACCGTTTATAAATGTGACCTTGAACTTGAACGCCAACGCAAATATATATATATATATATATATATATATATATATATATATATATGTGTGTGTGTGTGTGTGTGTGTGTGTGTATGTATATATATATGTATATATTTGTATATATATATATATGTATATATTTGTATATATATATGTATATATTTGTATATATATGTATATATGTATATATACATATGTATAAATTAAAAATATAATTATATAAATATATGTTTGTGTGTGTGATTTTGAGTTTTCATTTGCATTTAATTTTGTTCAAATACATTATTTGCTTTTGTGTGTTGAATTTAAATAAAGTAAATAAATTACATTATTTGAATCAATTCTTAACATCACCTATTCAGTGTAATATTAGTATATACTATATACTCCCTCCGTCCCAATTTGTTTTGCAAAATTTCCTTTTTGGATCGTCCCAAAATGATTTTCCACTTTCCATTTTAGGTATAGAAATATGATTAAAGTTACTAGCTTGCCCTTCTCCTGCCTTCTAATCCGCCACCCACCCATCCACTTATTAATTCCCACCCATCTCTCTCTTATCACTATCCCATCACTTTTATCTCATCTCTCTCCCCATTTTCAAGTTCTCCATGGCCAGATTCCTTCCCCTTTTCAAGATGAAGACAGACAAAAAAGGAGGCTCCGGCTCAGGGAAGAATCAGCACCTGACCTCCCTTGCTTGGTCCATCAGCTCCGTCTCCGCCCTTTTCCGCTGCCGCGCTACCCTCGGACAACTTCGCAAATCAGTCGCTGCCACCATCGTTGAACCAGCTACTTGCGACAGGGGTCGAATCGTTGAAGCTACGGGAGAGGTTGCTGTCCAACAGAGACCAGACGAAAACATATGGGGACTCTTGATGTCCATTGGGTGTGTTCAGATGAAGATAGTCAAGATAAAAGTTTTCAAGGAAGGAGATGAGTATATTGGCCTCATTCAAGAAAAGTGCACCAAAGTTAGGATAGTTCAGAAGAGTAGAAATGGAAGTATTTTTGTAATGGTAAAACTGAAGTGTAGAAAATTAGAAATTGGGCAGGGGCGATTGGGATGAAGTATAATTATCTTTCATTTTGGAAAATCATTGGTTTTGTTTTGATTTGAAAAGTACGTATGTACTTTGTGCAGCACTTATAAAAGAAAGGGCAGAATGGTAAAGTGATTTTTTATCCCTACACTTCCTTAATTCCCGTGCCGGTCAAAGTTTGCACCTCAATTCGGGACGGAGGGAGTAATACAAATACTAATGGAATTTGCTTCGTGTACAAGCCCGGTTAGGATGTTTTTACTTGGACTGTAATTCCTCCCAGACCAGACCAGACTTGGATAGTTATAAAAATACAAAGAAACCAGACCAGACCAGACCAGATCAGACCAGACCAGATCAGACCAGACCAGCAAATTACAGTCCAAGTAAAAACATCCTTACACCCCGGCTTACATGCCCAAGTGTAATTGTTTGTGCACACACAATTACACTAGGGTCTAGTAAAGGGAAGTAGGGCTGGCATTTTGAACCGAAAAACCGAAAACCGAACCGAAAAAAACCGAAATCGCATTGAAAAAAAAATTGAACCGGACTGAACCAATAAATTTTGGGACCCGAAAAACTGGAACCGAAAAAATATTGGTTCGAAATCGTTTTATATACTGAAAGTATCGGTTTGGACCAAACCGAATCGATTTTTTTAATGATAAGTATTATTATTATTAGTACTAATGACGTTTACAAATGATATAAGTTCCGTTCAAGAGCAGTATGAATGTACTGGAAGCGTTAGTTTGTTGGTCGCGCAGCGCATTGCCTTGTCAAGGCGTCACTGGTTCGAGTCTCAGTGGCGCCCATTTTGTTTTATCATTTCTCTCCTTACCTTTTTCTCTCCTCCACTACTTTGTCCCACACCGGAAAAAGAAGAGATTTACTCCTCCAAAGACATCTATATAACAAGGGCTCTACTCGTAGTTAAAATGGTGACTAGTAAGTCACGTAATCCGGTTATTTCGGATTTAAGTGGCCTTTAATGGGCTCAATATTTAATAGCCAGATACATTGGGCTTAGTGGGCTCGATATTCTAAATCCCAAATATATTCGGCTTAATGGGTCGAATGCAAGTTCAATTTTTTGTTTTTTATTACATTAATCGGTTTGTTTCGGTTTCCAACAAACCGACCTGAAAATCGGTTCCCAAAAAATCAGCACCCGATCCATGAGCGTTTCGGTTTCGGGTGTAATAATTTGAGTAACCGATATTTCGGTTCGGTTCCAAGATTTGTTGGATCGGTTCGGGACCCGAACCGAATCCAGTCAAGGGAAGTGTATGTGATCCCGAATTGTCTACGCACAGACAATTTATTTTTTGGAGTCACATACACTTCCCTTTTCTAAAACCCAAGAGTAATTGGCTGTAAGCCGGCGTGTAACCGAGCGTGTACACAAAGCAAATTCCAATACTAATCAATACACTTCGATAATCTGGTAAATTTATACAAAAAAAAAACAATTTGCATCAGCAAGTTATCCAAACTGTTTACACTGATTCTCTGTTCCATAAAACCTAACTAATAGTAAATACTCTGGCTAGAACCATTTCATCATACCACAAAATTCTGATTCGACTTGTGCTTATTAAAAAGAAGGAGAATTATACTCCCTCCGTCCCATAATTAACTTCGGTTTTGACTGGGCACGGGGATTAAGATAGTGGGATTTGTGTGGTGGAGAGTTGTGCAAAGGAGAGAGAAATGTGTAAGAATGATTGTGAACCACATATTCTTTATCAAAAAAGGAAAGAGGAGATAAATTTGGGACGGACCGAAAAGGAAAGAATGAAGATAATTTCGGGACGGAGGGAGTAATCAATTTCAAACGCCCCCTAAGTATAAAGATAACATGATCGCAAGGTATCTATGTAAAATAGTAAAATACATGTTAAATTTAATGTTTTAACCAACTTAGTTTTTATTTCGTGTGCAAAAACACAATGGACTATCTTTGTTGGATGGGGGAGAAGATTGTGCGTACCAACTTGAAATCAACATACCTGCTCAAAATTTCTTTTCCTCCCAAGGTCATATCGCCATTTTGGGGTGATCTTTTCAAATGCCTACAAAAGGTAACAAACACAATCAAATACCCGAGTAGAAAAATCAACATACCAAATGGATCTGTGAACACAACAGGGAATACAAGACACCAAGAATAAAAATTTTAGGGTATGTTTGGGAGTTTGGGGGAAAGGGAGGAAAGGCTTTGAAGGTAAGTTGTTGGAGGGAAAAGGGAGGGGAAGGTGAGGAAACCCTTCTTATTTGGGAGTAGTAAGTTTGAAAAAACGAGTTTTAGAAGGAATTATAAATAAAATAACTCTTGAGATAAGATGTACTCAAATAGTTAAACTGATATTCATTTTAAATTTAGCTTAAAATATCATTTAGATAGTTATCCTTCAAAATTCCCCATTTTGGAGGAACTTAAAAATTGAGCATTTGAGGGATTTTGGAGGGTCACAAATACCTTCCAAAATTATTCCTCCAAATTTTCTACACTCCCAAACACAAATAGGAGGGTCATCAACCCTCACACGTCTTCCCTTCCATCCCAAAAACCAACTCCCAAACACACCCTTACTCCTTTAGTGGATAGTGTTGATAAGAGAGTTTTAGCATGATAAAATATTCTTAGGTGTTTGATAAGTTTAGGATTTAATTACTGTGTTTAATTGGGATTTGGGACTATGGAATAATCTCATTATATAATGAGGTATTAGCTACAATGTGATACAAGAAAAATGGGAGTTAAAACCCAGGGAGTTTTGGGACCTCAAGCAACCTCAACAGCCAACACTCTCGTTTTCATGTTTTGATATCAATTAATGCTCTATTGGTATGTTAAAGCGACAGTTATTAGGTAACACAATTCTATATAGCAAAACCATAAGAGAACGGAGGGGGTAGATGATACCTCAATAGTTGTGGTATTCCTTAACACCAATGACATGTGCATAATAAAGAACCCCAGAACACTCAAAGCAAAAGCAAGGTTCAAAGCTGCAACGAACAAGGGAGACGATCCATTAATATGTCAAACAAAGCAGGATTGAATCATCTAATGAGAGGAGAGAAGTTTCCTACACCTTACCAAATCCAATAAAAGTGGTTGCAAGAGATCCAGCAGAAATAGGTATTTCTTCATCACCAAAGAATGCTATAAAATTCGGCAGTAATGAAGAAGTCACAAGGGTAGTCTCAAGAAAGGTGTAAAACTGCATGCAGCAAAAGAAGAATATTGGCTTACTGCTTAGTTTTCTTTTCCCAGGATGAGCAATAATCAATAAAGCATTTAAAGTCTAGTTGATAGAGACAGGAGGGATCAGCCTATTAAATGCTTCAATAAAGTCTATCAAAGGAGGAATAAAAAGGGGTAGTGAGTTAGTTAAGTAATGAGTTAACTAATTAGTATTCTATCCCTGCGGGAGTATTAGCTATAAATAGAAGCGGGAGTAGCTAAATAAGGCAGGTTGTTATTCAGTTGGCTTTTGGCTTGGAGAGTGGGCTTCTCAAACAGTCCCAAACTTGTATACGACCTGTATTTCCCTCCCATTCAATAAACACTTTTCGATTACTTCTACTACAATTCTCCATAAATCTGTTACAGTTTTATGTTTGTGATATCATTGATCTATCACTAGTAACAACAATAAGGGCTCTTTTTATACAAGTATGTTTATGTATTACATAATAAATGATAATATGCAGCTTTAAGACATAATTATCCAGATATGCATATGCTTATATACGTATAAAACATAAAAAACAAACCATATTTATTTCTTTCTGATAATGGCTAGTAACTTACCCCTAGAAATGCTCTAAATGGTTTGTCCCCTACGATGAAGTTGAACAAGGTACCTTTATGTTATAGTAATAAATACATGAAGAATACTAATGAAAAACGTGAATTTGACAGATCATTGCACGTTCATGACCAAATAATCTCCATAACATCTGTTAATACACGGTATCAACAATTCTCCGAATCAGTAAAGCATTTAAATAAGTGATTTTGTTTCCCTACGGATTTGTGTCAGATTAAGCCTTAACTCAAAGAGCTCTTATTTCTATTTTTGAGACATTACAGTTCTTGTTTCTTTCTTTCCATCATTTCTAATGGAGCCAAAGACTCACTATTTTTTGTCTTGGGAATATGATGGAATAAAGAAAACTGGGGTAATGTTGTTGTTGTTGTTGCTATTGTTGTTTGTTGTACCATTCTTGTTTCGTTATCACTTCATCCAAAAAAAATATGATAGGCATGCATGGCTTACAAGGGAAGGCTTACTCAAACTGTTTACCACCATCCAATTTTGAACATATCTAATTCAATTTTAGTGAACAAAAATTAGACATATTCAAATCTCCACATCATGTAGTAAACGCAAGAAAAAGCCTGAATATTGAAAATTATAAAATAAGTTGTTATGGATTCATTCTATGGACAAGCAAATCGTCGAAGGCGTGGCCGAGAAGATTTAGAAAATTTAGTTGGGCCAACCGAGAAAGATCAGGGTGGTTTAAGTGGCTGACCAGGATGCTAAGGAAAGTGGCAGCATTTAATTAATAGATCCTAGTTATTTCCAATTTATAGTTATTTCCTTATTCAATTAGGAAACCTGGCAGCATTTAATTAATTAGATCCTAGTAATTTCAGATTCAAAGTTATTTCCTTATTCAGTTAGGAAACTTCCTAGTATTCTCATGCTTCCTATTAGGACTCTTGTAACCTCTATTTAAAATGACTAGTATTGATTAATAAAGTACTTTTGGAAGAATTAATTTTGATGTGTCTTGACTAGGTCGGGCACCAATTAATTCCACCTTAAGTCTCTAACAGAATTATTCTTCATCATGTCCAATAATCTGAAACTAACAATATTGATCTGAAGGTCTCAGTTGGTTCCTCTTCTCTTCTGAGATCCCGATTGAGGTCTTGGATGAGGACGTATACGCTAGTATATGTATCATAAAAACGAGACAAAGAGTGTAGTAGATGGGTACAGAAAGAACCTACACAAGAATGTGACAGTAAAATGCCCAAAAGAGAACAACATTTTTGAGAAATTTAAGATGTCCATCCATATATTTGAAGAAGATAGATCGTTTTATGTTTCAAAGACAAGATCAAAGTGATCAAAACCAGTAGATATCATGAGAAACAAACAAGATCTAGTTCACGCAATTGTATACTTAAATCAACACCTACATTTCTCTACACTGCCTTCAAAATGAAAAAAATGGTTTTTGCTTAGTATAGTAAGCAATTAACTTTTTATGTATAGTATAGGGACTAGGGAGTACATGACTATACACATATGCACAAATATGTAACTGACACTCTGACAGTCTGACACACACACACACAAAAGACAACCATTTGAATGTAGACCAATCATTTGATGTTGAGGTAATATCTTGTACATTTTTACTTAAATCGGAGAAATCTATGTACGGAGTAGTAGCCTAAAGAATAGACCGTACCAGGAAGAGGAGGAAATACTTGTAGTTCAAAGCTCCAACACAATTCACAACCCAAACACAATGATGGTCCATTTTTAACACACACCTTCCACCTAGAGTAAGCAAACAAACAACCAGAAGAATATTGAAGCTTGAATTGAAGAAGGAAAGGAAAGAAGAATAGTTGAGTAGGCATTAAGATGGAAGCACAAAGAACTCACAGACAGAACAATGATGGCATCTAGGGGGCTTCAACTGGTTGCACTTTTTACAGAATCGGATTGTTGAATGTGCTGCACCAGCTGGCAAAGAGATGCATTCTGAAGCAGTTAGAGGATCAGTATCCCCTCTTTCTTCATCAAAAGATGGCTTCCAATTTGGCGGCACACCACCCGGATCCGTGAAGACAACAGAAAAGTAACTCCAGAGTAACATCACCAACTGTCATTATTGCAGAAGTAACCGTTATAGTTTCATTGCATACATTATACATATCCCATGCCCACTTATGGTGCATCATTGGGAAAAAACTTAATTTCATAGGCCCCGTTTTCTGCATCTTACTATGTTCAAAACTAAAAATATGTATCGTCTTTATGTCAAATTTAACAAGATATATCCCAGACATTCAATCTACTAAAAGTATCTGGTTTCAATCTACGGATGTCACCAGCGGAGGATGTGGAGGGGAGCATAGGGGGCAGGTATCCTGATTTTGACCCCGTGAAGAGCATTAGTACTCGCTTTTGAACTGACAAATAGTATTAGTAAAGCTTATCACAATCGTTATTTGAATCGTTGAATTGCACGATTCTAAGACTCTATTAGTGAGCAATCGTATTTGACTCGTAATAAAATCGTGTGAACTTACGATTTAAAACGACCACGATGTCTAATAGCCAACAAAAGTCAGGCTTTGAACAAATCCAAGCAATGAGATTCGTTGTATATCAAGGTAGCAAGGGCAGTATTATATAGGGAAACCAAGAAGAGTAGTATGCTTCACGTTCCACTGTGGGGTTGATAACAATAAATGTGAATGTGAAAGAACAAAATAACAAAGCAATCACGCATGGAGCAGATTTCAAACACGTGTCTCCTGGACAGAAATCCCTCAAAATACCAGCTTGGCCACTACGAGTAAGGTTAATTTTCGGAACGATAAGGATACCTATACCAACTCGGAGCTGATTTTGACTTACTACTAGAGTTTTCAATTACAAAATTTTATACTCCGTAAATAATTCTTATTTATTTAATAAAATATTATGATTTACAATTTGATTCCCTGATTTGATTTTTAAATCCATATAACTATTCGATCTATAAAACGATTTTAACAACCTTGGTATTAGTTCTTACGAGTTGGAATTGGACATGGTGGAAACGAGTTGGAAGAAACATTGCTAAGCTTGAGAGGAAAAAGGCTTCATTTTTTAAATTTAAGCAGAAAACAAACTCTTTTGGCAATGTTTTTTTAAAATAAATCTGAAATGACTCCATTTTGGATTGGAGTTTAAAAGTAAAATAAAAGAAAGTCTGATGGCACCCATGCTACTATCACGAACAAGTACAAACTTCATGGGTATTTAGTTACATTTCAAACTAGTACGACCAAGTTTTCAGTGGCGGAACCAGAACAAAATTTGAGCAAGGGCTAAAAAAAATTTGAACCGCTAGTTGGGAAGATTCATAATCTGTATCGTTTTTGGGTATATTTATGGTAATTTGATCTCAAATTACTATATAATATTATTCCCATTTGCATGAAGTGACACTTTATTTGTACCTGTATACTCCCTCCGGTTCTTATTAAAGTTCTCACTTTCCTTTTTGGGATGTCCCTTATTTAAGTTCACACTTCCATTTTAGGAAACAAAACAGTGCAAAACAGTGCCACACAGTGCCAAACAGTGTCCAAACAGTGTCAAACAGTGCACTCCACAGTAAAGTCAAATTCATTTTCTTAATATGTGTGAAGTCAAACTGGGAACTTAAATAAGAACCGGAGGGAGTATAATTCACACACAAGCGCACACATACATATACACATCAACTTAAATATCGACATTTATTCATTTGTATAACTGATTTGTTAGTGCCTAAACAAAATAATAGACTACATTTATTAAATGAGTTTATTTCGATTTAATACGCTTTCCCTTTTATTTTAGAATAAAAAGGTTTAAATAGAAATATAGCTAAACATGTAGGGGAAGATAAATTAATAACATACGGAGTATATATATAAGTTACTAACTTATCAAGAAAATAATAATTTTTTCTCTCTTTTCAAATAGCGTTACAAGTAGGTTAGTTATTTTTTAAAAGGATATTTTTTTTTTGCAAAAGTATTACATAAATCTAATTACACTCATATAAAGTCAGATATTTCAAATATCAACAAGAAATTTTGGCATATTTGTACTAACCCAAGGAATAAATATAAAATTCAAGTAATTTTGAAAAGTTTATTGATAAACTTTTTATAAAATGATAGAGGTCAATGTTTGAAGGGGGAAGCAATAGCTAAAAGTCATTTTTTGTTGTTCTTGTACTAAACAAAAATGTAAATAACATGTTAATATTTGAAAAAGTACAAAATACGGAGTAAATATTTTGAATTTGAAAAATAAAATGCAACATGAAAGTAAAATAAATGTGGTAGGAAAAATATTAAAACTAATAACATTCCAAAAGGTTAAGAGATAAGTAGAGGAAGAAGTGTAATGGAGTAAGTAATTAAAAAAGGAGACTGAGCAAGGATCGAACCTGAGTCTCCCTCAACTTTAAAACTCCTTGGCCATCTATGCTACTCCAACTATTGAGTTAGACACGGGTCAGTTAGTACATATTATTATTGAGACGGGGCTGAGCATGTATATATACATATATATACAGTAAAACCTCCTGCGAACGGGGGCGGCAGCACCGGCTCGCTCCCCCCTAGTTCCGCCACGGCAAGTTTTGGTGTCCATCTATAGGATTGAACATGGTTTCGAGAATAGGTCAGTTCATGTCTGAATACCATCTTTATTAAAATCAAATTTTCCGACCATGAACCTATTAAAATCAGGCCTAGAATCAGACCTAAACCAGTGGATGGACTGGACCCAACGGTTAAAGTTCTTCAGGACCTAAACTAACAGGTCCGGAATCAGACCAGAAGCAGCACACGCCCGTGTGCTGGCGCGCCGCTAGCGTTTCAGGACATTTTCGAGCCCTGTAAAGTAGCTGAAATTTAACAAATAACCCTCCACGACTACCAACTTATTCGGTCAATCAGGCAGCCGACGGCATTTTGTGACAGTCAATATAACAAAAACACCAAAATAAAATGGATCGAGAAAGCTCATGTGGTTTACCAGGAAGTGAAACAAGACTAGCACAACAACGGAGGTGAGGATACCGATAGCGCCACTGCCGCCGGCGAGTAACGGCCCATAAGTAGTGATGACAACGGCGTAATAAGTGAGGACGACAACCCCAAGGACCAACACAATCATGACTGAGCCCAACCCACGAAGGGCCGTGCAGAACCGAAACACGTTCCAGGTCATCACTACTCCGGATCTACGAATAATCAACCCCACAAAACTCAGCACCACATTCAAGTCATTAAGAACAGATATATCCACCACCCTGCTTCTATCTCATCCTTATTTTTCAAGAGAAAGTTTGTGTAGCACAGGCGGAGGTAGAACAGTAGAAGGGGACAGGGGAGTGTCTATAAAGTACAACCGGAGTAAAAGGTGCTTAATAGTGTAATTGATTTTTTAAAAGGTGCTTAATAGTAATTGTTGATAGTGTTTGAGAAAAAATTGATTTTAAAAAGTTAAAGTTGATAGTCTTTGTTAAAGGGAGATTTCTCAAAATAGGAGTAAATGGAGTTTAGAATTCCAAAATAGGACCACTGTGTTTTTATTCCCGAAATAGGACTAACATGACAGTATTTACTGTCATCTTGTAGGCAGTAGGCGTGACTGCCAAATAATTGCAGTACAGTGCATTTAATATGACAGTATTTATTATAATTAATGACAGTATTTTTCAATAATGGCAATAGTTTTCATACATGGCAGTAACAACTACTATTCCGAAAAGAAAAACATAGTAATCCTATTTTGGAATTCCAAACCTCATTTACTCTTATTTAGGGCAATTTTCCTTTGGTAAATTAAGTGCTTTTTGTGTAATAGATAAAGTAAAAAGCAGATTCTAGCTTTTACCTTTTAAGTATTAATTTAAGTAGAAGTTGTCACATGAAAACACTTTTTTTAACTTTTTTAAGCCAATAGCTGGGAAGCGCTTTTTTTAAGCGTTTGCAACTGGTGCCCTAGTTTTTCTGTTTGAAACAGAATAGGAACCGGAACGGGACAACCGGTTCACGGTTCCAAATTTAGGGAACCTGTTTCGGAACCGCACAATACCAGTCATAAAACCGGTTCGTCCCGAAAATAATGGTACGAGTACAAGAACAAATATCTCTCATTGTTAAAACTAAGTACAAAAATAAAAAAAAACTGAATACCTAAGTAGTTATAAATTAGATTGTAAAATCATATAATCTATTATTCTAAAATAATTTAGTTGTTTTTTACAACAAATAATTTAGTCATTGATAAATTATGGATACTTATTACTAAATCTCTATCATATGCTGGAAAGGTTGAGTTGATTTGATCTGTTATGCAAGGGGTCCAGACTCGCTTTGGAATATTCACTCGAAACAAGACTCGCTTTGGGTCAAGTGAGTCCATGAGGGTTATCTTTAAGGTAGGGATGTGTGGACATTTGTTCCACACACCAGGGATTCCCGATTAATGAAAGAGACTTGGGCTTATCAAGGACTTGATCCGATCAAAGTTTCCCTCTCCCAATGAGGTCGTGACCTACCTTGGGAAGAGTTCATTTGAGGGAAAACTTTCTTCCTCGAGTGTGTATGATCTACTTAGAACCAAAGGTACTATCCAACCATGGATGTCCTTTATTTGGAAGAATTATATACCCTCTAAATTTTCGGTCATTACCTGGCTTGCTTTCCGCAATAGGCTAGCCACGCATTATAGTTTGGGGTTTCTTGATATAATCGATCAATGTTTATCCTTTTTGTAAGGGTGGTCCGGAAACGGTATCACACCTATATTTTTAGTGTAACTTTACGAGACATGTATGGAGCATAGTGAGAGCTTGGCTAGAACTACCGAGGCAGATGACAACATGCACTTTCAAGTGTGGCCAAATGGATAAATTAAAAGGCCAGGAGCACAATGTAGTACATGTGAAAGACAAAGCTGTGAGGATCTCTTTTTGCTACACAGTCTACTGGATATGGCATACTAGAAATGCTATATGTTTTGAGGCCGCAAAGCCTACTGTTATGGATTTGGTCACATGGATCAAATATATGGTGTACAAAGTGTTATACTCTATGTATCCGCTTCATAGGATAACATTCTGATTTTTGCTGTTTCGTCACCTATTTTTGTGATGGCCAGCATGTAGATGTAGCTAGATGTTTTTTTGAGGTGATAGGGCATCCTTGCTTGGGATCGCTCATAAGGTTTTTTTTTGTTCAGGTGCATATGATCTACATAAACATTCTTGGATGTATATATTTATATTTTATCCAAAAAAAAGATATTAGAACACAGAAAGAAACTATTGCATGCAAAAGCATTCTTAACTAAGGTGTCTAGATATTTTTTTGAGCTCTCTTTTATTTATATTATTTTCCTCTTATCTTGGCCAAACACTTCCGTTCACTACAGTCTTGAGGGAAGGGAGCTCCTCCATATGGTGTTGTATATACCTAGCTCATTTCCTTTCAAAAGACCTTTCTTTTAAAATTGTTGTTTTGGGTGTGTTTTGGAGGGGAGAGGAAGGTTGATTGGGGTTTATGATCCTCTTTTTTATGTTTGAGAGTTTATATAATTGGAGGGGATGGTTTTGGAGGGTTTATGTGACCCTCCAAAACCTTCTAAATGCTCAATTTTTGAGTTCCCCAAATTTGGAAGATTTTGAAGGATAATTAACGAAATACTCCCGTAGTAGTTTAAAATCAATTTTTAGAAAATACCATCAGTTCAATCATTTGAATTCGTCATATCTCAAAGTGATTATAATTATAATTCATTCAAAAATTAAACTCTGTTCTTTCAAATTTATTACTTCCAAATACAAAGAACTTCCTCACCCTCCCATCCCTTTCTCCTCCAACAACATACCTTTAAAGTCTTCCACTCTCCTTCCCTCCAAACTCCCAAACATACCCTTAAGAAAACGGTCCAATCCCTTTAAAAAAACCACGACTTGCCTTTGAGTTATGTAAATGACTTGCCTTTTTTTTTAAATCCCGGAACGAACCGCACTGGGTGGAGGAGTGTCGGGGAACACATCCCGAATTTATTAATAAAAAGTTAAACGATACAAGAGATAAAATAAAAAGAACTTCTCTTAGAAATAGAAATTAACAAGGATCGGAAAAGATGTTGCTCTTAAAAGAATTTCCTAGTGAGAAAATTCTTTTCAATTTAGCATAAGATAAATCAAATTTGAACGGAAAAAGAAAGATATTTTGAAGGAACCCAATTTAATCACAGACAATTAAGGCCAATTAAGAAATCGTTGGAGACCTGATGCGGTTATGAGTACGACCGGGTCCAACTGTGTGGTCTGTTGGTGTAAGTTGTGTTGCCCTTGATGTTTGCGATGCAAGACAGTGCGTGAGTTGTCCGCCCAGGCTCACGCCCAAGGTTTTACAGCGACCGCCGCGCCCTCCTACTCATCAGGGCTTGGCTCTTGCCCTCTCTATTGCCGGCGATATGCTCCTGGCCTTATTTAGCATAAGATATTTTGAAGAAAGATATTGAGAAGGAACCCTTTTGAGAAGGGTTCGACTCAACCCAATTTTCGAAGTGTCACGGACTTAGTCACGGACCGTAGTGTAAAAAACCCGTGACTAACACATTTAGTCACGGATTGTGTCCGTGACTAGTTCCATGACTAATTTCGTGTCCGTGACTAATTCTTGACAAGAATTAGCCCTCCGGCGCGTTAGTCACGGACCATATCCGTGACTACTTTTAATTAAAAAAAAATTGTGTTAGTCACGGACATGTCTGTGACACTTCGAAAATTTAAATAAATTAATTTTATTAGTGAGATAAAAATGTTTCAAAATAGAAGTGGCATTAGATAAAACTTTGGCTTGAATAATTAAAGTGACATTTTAATAATTTATAAATTCCAAGATTTCCCATAATTATATGAACAAAAATACAATGTTAATTGATATGAAGTAATCATAACTAAAATGTGATTTACATAAAACTATATACTTAATATAAGAGAGTTGGACTATTCAAACTTAACTAAACCACAAACTACATACGTAATACTTGTACTAGTAATAATAATATAATACAAAAAAATAACCTGCTATATAAAACAAGCTAGATACATTGCACACACGTACATAAGTGATAACCTTAAAACCCTATACTCACGTTCTACGCAAGATAGGAACGGCGACGCATGTGAAACTAATCGGATAAACCTTCAAGCCTAAAGACACGCAACTAGAACCTTCGTCCTACGAGTATAAATAACAGCATATGGATCAACGACCTAGGCAACACAAAACCCACGAAGTACGACCTGCGTTGCAGGGAGAAAACGAGAGAAATTGAAGAGGGCGAGAAAAAGAGAAAAGAAAGAGATAGAAACGGGAGAGAGAGAGAGAGAGAGAGAGAGAGAGAGAGAGAGAGCGAACGTTTGGAAGAAGAAGGGCGGGCCTTGGAGCGCGAGACCTTCGCCGGAGAAGGAGAACGCAGATTTCGCCGGAGAAGCTGCCGGAGTGCTGCGCCGCGCCATCACCTTGCTGCCGCCGTCATAAGGAAGAGACTCTGACCGCCGGGCCACCTCCCATCGTCAAGGTAACACGTACGTTCATTCCTACGTAATCTCGTTTCTCCGATATTTCCATGCGAAGAAGATGACGAACCATTCCCTCAGTTTGATTTAACCTTAGCCGACCCTTATTAAAATGACACTGGACTGAAATAACAAAACTAAACTGGTTTGGGCTATCTAACATTCTAACCTATTCTATGGACTGTTCGAAATAAATAAATTAATGACAACAATAACAGTAAAAGATGAACATAATAATATAATAATAATGGAATGATTAGTAGTTATAAAATTAATGATTTCAATAGAATTGAATGACTATAATTAATCGAATGGACTATTTGGACTAAATTGAAAATTTGTCTGTTTTAATTAAACTAGATTGATTATTTAAGTACTCTAAAATGGACATTAGGATTATAAAAAAAAATAATAAACCAGCTAATATAGATGATCGTTAGACATGACAGTGGACTAATTTAAAACTAATGATAATAATACTGGATTAGTGGAAATGGATTGGTTAGAATAAGTATACCAATCAAGATGCTTATTATAAAATGAACATTTGGGTCGAGTAGTAAATCAACTAAGATAAATATAAATAAAGGATCATGTACTATGAAATCAATTAAATCAGTAGTTTATTTGTTGGATAATTTCTAACGAGTGGGCCAATTAGTATTACGAATTACATGGATTTCCTTTATCGGATTATAACAAAGAAAAAAATCTAATTAACTAATCATAAGCATTAAATTAACAATGTTGAACCGAATAAATAACAAATAATAAGAATCATATTAACGAACGATGAATTATATGACCCGAATAATT